ACTAACTAAATAAATCAAAAAACAAAACGGAACCCATGTTCACATTCATGTAAAAACAAGAACATTGAAGAAAAAAAAAAAAGAAGAAGAAAGAAAATAAAGGGAAAAAAAAGATAAAAAATGTTCCCTTCAAGGTGTGTCTCTGTTACTACTGGTAGACAATGTGCACAGAGTCCAGATGCACATCAATCAATTCCAGCAAAGCAGCAGCAGCTCGTCAGTGGGGTGGGGATGATCTCAGGGAGTCTGAACCCCACTGAATTTCAGGCTGGCCTCGGACTTCAAGGCTGGAATCAGACCCCATTAGGCTGCTGGAGTCCCTTCCCCTACTGCAAGCTGCAAGCTTGAACTTAGCTGGGAGCCACTAGTTGGAGCTAGCAGCCACTGGAGTCCCAAGTTCAGTTGGCCTCTCTCCAAGATGGCCCCCTGCCGACTGCCCTTCCTTGTGGAAAGTCAGAATGGGACAACTCACAGCCACTGCAGCACATCGCTATCTGCTGCATCCACTGCTCTGCTCCAGTAGTGTGCTTCTCTGTAGAGGCCTCTGGGGTGGACAGCAGTCACTATGTGTCTGCAGGTTACAGCTACTCCCCCACGTAGTGAGACTGGCTCAGGGAGAAAGTGTTACCTGCCTCCTCATTCTTCAAGTTTCTCTGTTTGCTCTCGCCATGGGCTTCAACTGTCACCTCTGATCCTTACTGGGTCTCAGAGACCCACTTCCCTTCTTCTTCTTTTCCTCACATTGCTATATTCCAGTGTTTGTATGTGAAATGTTGGAGAAGCTCTTTCTCTGCTGCTCACCACTTTGCTGAAAGTTGCTTGTCCATCCATTAATTTTTGATGTTTCATTTTTTCATTTCCTTTTTCCCCATTCCCTCTTTCTTTACTAGTATAACCATTAAATTTTGTTAATCTTTAGATGTACTGTCTAGTTAACAAACACTATGTTAACTATAGTTGAATCTAGTGTTAGTGGAGGTACAGTTGTTGCAGTTAGTAGATATTTACTGTTGGTAAATATTTGGTTTGTCTTAGTGCTTATATTGTTCACAGCTCTCTTTTCTATGGGTAAGGGTTGCCTAAGTGAACAACTTCTGAGACACATATTAATGGTTCTTATGTCAATAGTTTATTTTTGCGGGTCTTGTTGCTGATTCTGTTGCTTCTGCCAGGGAGGCATAGTTGGTACTATTTTTTTTTTTTTTCCAGTACCGGGAACCGAACTCACGACCTTGCGCTTGCCAGGCAGGCGCTGTGCCGCTGAGCTAAATCCCCAGCCCCAACTGGTACTATTAATTGGTTTTCTCTGTATGTCAGTATCTGGATTGCCTTTTGTCATTAACAATACTGCGCCCATTCCCAGAGAACGAAGTGCTGGGCTAATTGCACGGCAGCCTCCACTCCCAAATTAACAGAAGTGGTTGGTTCTCAGGACAGAGGCAAGGCCTACATAGATATATACACCTAGAGTGCAGCCCTGGAAAGGAGATATGGACAAGGTCTCCATTCTAGCAACCAAGTCTTTCCAGTAAAATCAACCTGCAAACCTCAGCACAAGAAGGAAATTTAAAAAGGTGTGATGATGTAAGTCAGTACAAAGGCCATGAATTTAATCAATAGTACAATAAATAAATGAATAAATAAAATTTTATTAAGGAAAAATGAAAAATCTCATGGCCCAGTTAATCACTAAGGCTAAAGTTGTTACACCCCCTTAGGATGCAATCATAAATCTTTCCCACATTACAATTTAACAGAACTTTTTAAGGAGAGTTTAACTTGCCAGTAGTATGAAATATCAACAACAAAATGAAAATATACATGAAAAGAAACAACTGAAGCTCTCTGCAATTAAGAAAATAGATTTGCAGCTGGCTATAGTGGTGCAAACCTGTGATTCCAGCACTTGGGAGGCTGAGGCAGGAGGATCATTGTGAGTCTGGACCAGCCGGGACTATATAGTGAGCTCATAGTGGCCAGCCTGCACTATGTTGTGAGATCCTCTCTCAATAAACCAAAACCAAACAGATTTGATATACTTCTTAGTTGCCTGTTTAGGCAGTTTCTCAGATATACAACTGTGAGCTCTGAAATGACTGCATAGCTGGGGATATACATGCTCAGTGGCACAGCACCTGCCTGGCAAGCATGAGGCTGTGAGTTGGATTCTCAGTACCAAAAATAAATAAATAAATAAAAAAGGATTTCATAATCAGGATAGCAAGAATACCTCATAAGATATTCATGATAAGGATGAAAATCATATTGTATGTACTGGATCAATTAAAGTACAAGAGTATAATGAATAACAAATAGTACTGGTTAATTATTACTAAAGGTTAACAACTGTCTTTCTGAAGCAGTTTGTATGAATCTAAGCTCTCAAGTTTTGGTATTCAGTGTCAGGTCAGTTAGAGCTGGTCAAACTGCAAAGGAGGCTGTCCTGTCTTCTGACATCAACTGTAAGTTTGGATATTGTAAAAATCATACTGAGGTTTGATAATTCACTAGAACCCAAGAACTCAAGGCAAGGTATTATTGCAGGAGAGGCATACAGATTAAAACCACCCAAAGGAAAGAAACAAGAGGTTTAAGTCCAGAACATTTCCAAATAGGCAGTCTCTATGGTCCTCTCCCTGAAGCTGGAGGCCTTACTATTCAATGTGTGGAAACTGAACAAAGCATTGCTAACCAGGGAAGCCTGCCTGAGCCTCATGTCCAAAGTTTTACAGGGGCTCCATTGTGTAAGTATGACAATTGCCTGGGTACTGTCTCAGCTGCAGGGTGGACTGACACCATGTGACCTCAAGCCCTCACTCTGAATCACACTGTTGGTTTTTAGGGCAAGGCTGGCCCCTCCCTCAGACCTTTTGGGGCTAGCTCTTTCCATAAACAAAGAACTACTACATACTTTAGCTTCCAGAGGCTGAGATCAAAGGCCAGATGTATTCTTGGCCAGGATCAAGGTAAAAAAAAAATTTTTTTGGGTGCTACTTGCAATCCAATCCAGGGCCTTTATATTGAGTGCCCAATCCCTGTTTTAAAAATATGAAACACAGTCTTGCTAAATTGATAGGTTGCTCAGGCTGGGCTGAAACTGTGATCCTCCTGCCTACACCTTCCAGAGTGCTGGGGTAACAGGCATGCACCACCATACCCAGCAAGGTTGAATTATCACACATCACTATTCCTGCTTTCCCCTACATCCTTATACAAAATGGACCACCCTAACCTTGACATCTTCTGTTCTCAAAGGACTACCTCCTCAGCTTGTTTTTAATATATTTCTTTCAACCTTGTTTCTGTTCCTTTTCTCCAGTGTGTGTGTTGGCAGGGGCGGGGGGCGGGGGCACTGGGAATTGAAACCAGGGCTCTCACGCTGAGCTACATTCCCTGGCCATTTTTTTAATTTTGGAAAGCTCTTTTGTTTTGAAAGAGAGGATCTTGCTCTAGTTTAGGCTGGCATTATTCTCCTGCTTCAGCTTTCCTATGCTCAGTGAGCACCACCACACCCAGCCAACAGGGTCTTGCTAAATTACCCAAGTGGGCGGAACTTGTAATACTCTCTATCCATCTTCCAGATTGCTGGATTTCTTAAAATATACTCTAAACATGATTTAAAAAGCATTTAAATTCTGTTCTGACTTTCTTTCACTATCTCCACCCAGTGGAACACAACATATCCCTCTTTTTTGTACCTCAGGACGTATTTTTCTCCTTTATAACCTGCAAGCTTTTGGCGGAAGCAAATCATACTTTGTGTGTGTGTAGGTGGTACTGGGACTGAATCCAGGGCCATTACACTGAGCTGCATCCTCACTCCTTTTTTAAATTATTTCTTTTAAATTTTGAGACAGGGTGTTGCTAGGTCAGTAAGTTGCTCCTGATTCCTCTGCCTCCACCTCCTGGACTGCTGGGATCACTGGTGTGCACCAGCATGCTTGGCCCATATTTTCATTTTATGCAAATGCTTTACACAATTGGCTTGGAATTCCTTTTCGCTTTCATTTATATTCTTTAATTTTGTATGGCAAAAGGTATCTATTAGGTAAATGAATACTGAATTGCTTTACTAAGATTTTAAATTAATCAGCTGTCAATAACTTTGTATGTGGTAAGAAATGACTTGCAGAAATACTTAAACATACTGGGCTGGAGCGTACCTTAGTGGGCACTGCTCAGGGGTAGTGTGTATACTTAGCACGAGTGAGGCCCTGAGTTCAGCCCCAGGAGGAAAACAAAAACACTGAACTGGCAGCTAACTTGAATGCAATGTCTCTCTGGGCAATTTTCATTTTGTCATTTGTCCCAATTAAGTTCAAGGTCCTTATACCTCATCTTTCCTGATCTAACTGGGGCGTCTACAGGGATGAACACCAGCTAATCTCCAACTGTACTTTGCTGCCAGCTTGCGCTTGGCAAAATGAGCTCCAGAATAAAGGAAGTGGGACCCTAAACTGAGTTGCATCAAGAAAAAGTGCCCCTCAAAGGAAGGATGGAACAAACCTTGTCAATTTGAAAACACCTGAGGACCTGTTTGGAGCACGTAGGGAGCAGGGCAGGGAACAGAGCCGCACTGCACCTCGGGGGCTGGGCCCTGGGCCCACATTTCCAAATAACTGAACACCTCATTCAAAAGCAACCACTAAAAGCCAGTCTGTGGTGAAATGTGGCCAGTGACAAAATCATATTAAACACATGTAAATATATGAATATTAAAATTGTCATGTAGAAATAAAATCAGAACACTTTATTTTTGTCTTTTTGAGACAGGGTCTCGCTGTGCAGTTCAGGCTGGCCTTGAGCTCACTTTGTAGCCCAGGCTGGTCTCGAACTCCCAACAATCCCCCTGCCTCAGCTTCCTCAGTGCTGGGATTACAGGGGTGCGCCACCACGCCTGGCTTCAGAACATTTTAGAACCTGAGAAATCTTGAAGATCTTCTAATCAGTCTCAGTCTATAAATCAGAAAACCTTGAAATAATCAGTCACTGCACATTAGTATGATTACACATAACTTTAAAATTAACTCTTGTGTAAGAATTGGTCTTTAAACACTTTCACTTTTACATCAAATTAGATACTAACTGCACATATTGTAAAATTAATAAAGCAGATCTTTCCACTTTACAACTCATGTTAAATTTAGTAGTCTCTTCACTGACTCTTTGTACTGAGAAAGGGTGATTTCATTTTCCCCCTCATTCTTAAGACTAACAAGAGACTTCTGGTAATCTTCAACTTCTTTAGTACTCAGCAGCTCTTCTTTATTTACTTGCACTTTGTTCTCAGCAGTGTTAATCCGGAGAAGCGTTTCCAGGGTATTTTTTTCTGAGGAGCTATTTTTCCATATATATTCTTCCATGTCTGCTTCGGTCTTACTTTTTTCCCATTCTTCCGTTTTCTGAAAGAAAAAGAAAGTTCTGATTTCTGGCAAGTGTTCTCAAAGATAAAAGTCCTCTGTCTGTCTACTTGTTTTAGGGAAATACAAGTCTGCGAAATGCAGACAGCCCCTGGTCACCCCTCGCTGCACTCCACGTGACCCCTCAGCCAGCGCAGCTGCCCCTACCCCAGCTGCAGGGCTGCGCAGGCTCTGTGAACACCAGCCAGGCAAGTTCCATCCGCCAGTTCTGTCTACAGAAGTTACAATTTATTTGCCTTGCAAATTTCATTATAAAAACTATTCCGATTACCAGCATATACAGAAAACTTTTGCAGTTCTCTATTTCGTGAACACTAACACATGAACAACTCTGCATAGAAGACCCCCAAAACTTGACCAAAATACTTCTAGGTTTAATAAACAAATTCAGTAGTGTAGCTGGATACGAAGCTAACACTTAAAAATCAATACCCTTCCTGCACATGAATAACAATCTCACTAAGAGAAAAATTAGGGAAACAACACCTTTCACAATAGCATCCCTCTAAAATGAAATACCTGGGAATCGATCTAATGAAGGAAGTAAAAGACCTCTACATTGAAAACTACAGTACTCGGAAGGAGATTGAAGAGGGTATCAGAAAGTGGGAAGATATCCCTTGCCCTTGGGTAGGAAAAACCAACATAGTAAAAATCCTCACATTCCCAAAACTGCTATACAAATTTAATGCAATCCCAATCAAAATACCATTGGTATACCTCACAGAGCTAGAGAAAACATTCCTAAAATTCATCTGGAACCAGAAAAGACCTAGAATAACAAAAACAATTCTGGCAATGAAGGTAAGACAGGGGCATCACAATTTGATGCAAAATTATACTACAGAGCTACTGTGGATAAAAACAGCATGGTACTGGCAAAAACAAAAACAAAAAACAAAAAACTAAAAAACCAGACCTGAGGTTCAGTGGAACAGATTTTCTAATCAGAAACAACTCCAAATACACTCAGCCACCTTATCTTTGAGAAAGGTGCCAAACACCTTCACTGCAAGAAAGACAGCCTCTTTAATAAATGGTGCTGAAAAACTGGCTTTCCATATGCTGAAAACTATGCACTTAACTAAAATTGAAATGGATCAAAGTTCTAAATATTAAAACAGAAACACTAAATCTCCTGGAAGAGAGAACAGGTAGAGCTCTTGAAGATAGGTATTGGCAAAGACTTTGTGAACAAAACCCCAAATCACATAGGAAAGATCACAAAGAATCAATAATTGCAATCTCACCTTATTAAAAAGCTTTTGCAGCAAAACAAATCATAAACACAGTGGGAAAAAAATTTTTGCAAGTTGTTCCTCAGACAAAGAACTAGTCTCTAGAACATATGGAGAAGTGAAAAAAATCAGAGCCCCAAATTTAAAGACCCAGTCCAAAAATGGGCATCTGAAATGAATAGATACCTCTCAGATGAAGACACAGATATGGCAAAATAAACATATGAAAAAATGTTCAACATCACTGATCACTCGAGAGATGCAAATTAAAACAACACTGATATTCCATCAGAATGGCTATCATCTAGAAATCAACCAATAACAAATGCTGGTGGGGGTGTGGGGAAAAAAAGAACACTTTTCCATTGTTGGTGGGAGTACAGACTGGTGTGACCACTGTGGAAATCAGTATGGGGATTCCTCAAAAAACTAGGACCAGAGGTTCCATTTGACCCAGCTATTCTCCTTTTGGGTATCTTCCCAAAAGAATTAAAAGCATCATACCACAGCGATATATACATACCCATGCTTACTGAAGCACAGCTTGTAATAGCTAAATCTTAGAAGCAATCTAAATATCCATGAACTGATGAATGGATAAAAAAGATGTATTTTTTTTATACAGTGGAGTACTACTCACCCTTAAAGAAGGATAAATTTGAGACATTTCTAGCCAAAAAGATAGACTTTGAAATAAATCAGCCATACATGTGTTAATATTACATTGTTTCTCTGGTGTGAAAAACTTAAAACTTAAATAAGGACCCAAATTTAAAAGGAAAGGGAAACTAGGGAGCGGGGAAGGGAAAAGGAAGAAAGAAGAAGAAAGAAATAAGGAGAAAATTCTGGGCATAGTAGCACGTGCCTGTAACCACAGCACTTGGGAGGCTGAAGCAGGAGGATTGCTGTGAGTTTGAGGCCAGCCTAGGCTACAAAGTGAGTTCAAGGCCGGCCTGAACTGCACGGTGAAACCTTGTCTCAAAAAGACAAAAAAATCAAAACGAAACAACAACAAAAAAACCAACTTTGTAAATAAAGAGGTGAAGAGAGGTTAAGGGGGGGAGGGGAATGGAAAAATACAGAGGAATCAAGATACATTATGTGCAGGTACAAGTTTCCTATGATGAATGTGACCATCATGTATATCTAAACTGTACCAACAGACTTAATTAAAATTAAAAATGAATTAACATATCAACATTTTGCATTTCTGAGGTTAAAATAATAAAAGAGTTGAGAGGAAAGCCTATCATTGTCACATGCTTATGCAAATGACAGGGCAGAACAGACATTTTGCCACAGATTGCCTTGGACAGTGGACATGGAACTCCAGGACTTAATAAATATATCCACTGCTGGATTTTGGTCTTGCTTTGGTCCTATTCCTTTCTAGCCCCCATTTGTACTTTTTGGAATGGAAATATCTGTCTTGTGCCAATGTATGTTGAAAGTTTAACTTTCCTTTCATTTGTACAGGAGCACGCAGTTAAGAGTTTGCCATAATCTCAGAGACTTTGGATTTAAGATTTTTCAGCGATGCTGAAATAGTTAGGTCTTTGGCAACTCTTAGAGATTAACTAAATGCTTTTTGCAAAAAGGGATGTGCATGAGTGTTTGGGGGGCTGGGGTGGAATGTTATGGCTTGTATCTAGATGTCCCACCAAAGCCTCATGTGGTCATAGGTGGGGCAGACTTTTCAGAGGTGGCTGGATCTAAACGGTGTGGTGCTGGGATTAAGGATGAGAGATAACTAAATCAGTCCACTGATTGGTTTGACACAGTTCTGCCTAGGATTAAAGGTGTGAGTGTTATACTTGTTGTAGGTCAGGTATCCTGCATATAATTTAGGAACACAAAGAGGACTAATGTGCTCTGTCCAGCCTGCTTGCCAGGGACCATTTCTCCTCTGCAATGCCCCTCTGCCATGTGCCACCCTGCCTCGGAGCCAGACGACTATGGACTAAAACCTCTACAAACTGAGCCAAAATAGACCTTTCCTCCTTCAGTTTTGGGTGTCAGTTATTTTGTCTCAGCAATGAGAAGATGAACTAAAACAATACAGATGTAACATTCTTTGAAAAAGCAAGTAACTGGAGCACTGGTTCACAGAAGGGGTGAATACTACCCACATTCTTTCCAAATTAACACACAATACCCTAAGCCTGAGCTACTACAGCACCATCTACATTCTGAGTAACAACTTTTCAGGGTGGTAACATACAGGTACACTCAGAAGGCTGTCAGAAATACTATCTACTTCTGAACCACACTGAAAGAAGCCCAGCTTGAGCAGAGATCCAAGGCTCCTCAGATCTAAGCATGTGTCAAGCAGCAGACCAGTTCCAAAAGCTGCCACCCTCATACCCTTCTCCCCTTTAGAAGAGCTCACTCAAAATGAGAAAACAGAGTGGCCCCACCAAACAAAACAGGCCCCTGGGGATATCCCCAAGTCAGCAAGCAGAGGGGCTCAGATCAGTGGGGGCTGAGGAAGAGGTTCCCCCAACAGAGACTGGCAAGAAGAAACCCTCCTTTGAATCCTTCAGATGGAGCATCTTTCCTTAAACAGAACAACACTAAACAAAAGAAAATGACACAGAAGCCAGAGTAAGGTATCTGCACTCACCATTCCTTCATGTTTGCCCCACCTTGTTAAACTGAATGTCCGGCTGGAGTTGTGCCCCAGCCCAGGCTTAGCAAGGCCTTGTCCAGGTGGGGATTAACTCCCTGTGCCCTTTTCACCTGGGAGGGAGGTGTAGGTTGAGGGGTGAGACGGAGATTACTTTTCCTGTGCCCCTCTCCTAGGATACTGTTGCAAGTAACTTCTAATTATGCCTGTATCACTTATCTAATGGAGGTATTTTTCTTTTTCTTGTTTGTGATGTTGAGGGTTGAACTCAGGGTATCACTGTAAAATAACTATAATTAATGTGTTAAAGAAAACGGAGGGAACAAAGCAATATGAATTTTAAAATAAAGAACTTCAACATAGAATTGGTTTCTATAACTGGGTGCAGTGGAGTACACACTGTAATCCCAGCACTCTGGGACGCTGGGCAAGACTCCAAATCTGATCCCAGTCTAGGTGATTTATCAAAACCCTGACTCAAAACAAAACAAAACAATCCAGAACAAAACAAAACAAAAAAACCTGGGGATTTAGCTCAGTACAAAAACCCGGGCTCAATCTTCAGAACTTGCAGAATGGAGAAGAGGATATTAAATGATCATCTAGAAAAACATATCTGAAATTAAGCAGTCTGAGTACAGCAGAACTCCGAGAATAAAAACTACATTGTTATATATACACGTATATAGATATCAGAAGTACTTAGTAACAATGATCAAATCTGCACTATGAGATTATAAGTTTTTCTTTTTTTTTGAGACAAGGTCTCATTATGTAGCCTAGGCTCGCCTTGAACTCACAGTAATCCTCCTGCTTCAGCACCCCCACCGCCCAGTGCTGGGATTACAGGCATGCGCCAACACGCCCCACTGACTACGAGACTCAGACTTCTCATACTGTACAATTAACTCCCTCAAGGCCAGCCTGAACTACATAGTGAGATCCTGTTTCTAAAAACAAAAACAAAAAAATAATTACCTTCCTCTAAGGCTTATGGCAATTCTACTTAACAAGTCCAACACTGGAAGGACAACTTTTACGTATACTAAACCAAAGAAAAATTTTAAATTTGCAAAAACATATTTTGGGGAATTTTAAAAAAACTCATAATTTTTTAT